CATTAGCTCGGAGAAGCTTTTTTTAAGGGCAAATGGCAAGTTGTGAGAAAAGCTAATGGTTAGCATTAGCTTGGAGAAGCTTTTTTTAAGGGCAAATGGCAAGTTGTGAGAAATGTGCAAATCGGTTGTCAAGATTTGCACATCTTGACAACCGTACGACTCTCTTATGTGAAATGTACTCAGGTGGCAAAGTTGAAGGAAGAAATGTGAGGGCTGCCACTTTTCTACCAATGCTTGTCAGAACAGGAGCGGAAATGGCAACACGTATTTGAATGCTGCTACAATTTAACTTTCAATTTGCAGTTTCCCAAAAGTTCTCATTTCCTGCTGTCATAAATCACAAGCAGGTATGGCTGACTCAGACAGCTTTTAAATCCCCAGGTGTGGAGCCAGTTTGATAAGTCTCCAATCTACTGTTCTCAGATGACATTTCACCTGATTGCCTCCACTAAATAATTTTTTAACTTCATAAAATCCAGTTCAAGTTTGGAGACTAGTCATCACTTTCTACTATGATACCAGAGTTCTGCACTCCAGACATAACATCGATATGCTCTTCTTTAGTTTGTGTTCTTTAGTTTGCTTTCTTATTTTTGATTATACATTTTACATACTTTCATAGTTTCATAGCTGCAACTGTTGGGAGCTACAAGCCTGAACCCAGTTGAAAAAGGAATATGGCTGTAAAAAAGTACAGGATATCCCCGTGAAAGGAGATGTGATCTTATTTACATTACTGACATTCTTTGGAAAAGGAAATTACTACTTTAAAAATATACATTACATCTTTGGACTGTTGCTAAATTTACAAGGCTGACCTATTCTTACAGTAGAAAAAAAATCAAATAAGGAGGTGCCTTATCTTAAAGATAACCTATCATAAACATCCAACCGCTGTGGACAAACTTAACATACCAAAGACATTCATCGTACTGTTCTACCGTTCATCTCGATAAAATTACGCTCAGACGGACCATCAACAAACGGCTGATTCATCCTGGATCAGGATGAAGCGATAACATTTTGCTGCTTAAACAAGCCGTACAGTCTGACGGCCAGAAAGATACTACGCCTGTATCTGCTGCTGCTGGTGAGGAGCAGAAGAACCAGTCAACCGTCAGGGCTGACCGGCAGGCGCACGAAAAACAAGACAGACAAGTCCTAACACTCTGAAAGTACTTCTTGAGGAAGGAGGGCGAGTGAGACTGGGAGTGCCTGAAACAAACACACACACACAGCAGACAAAAACAAATGTGAAAAGTAGTGGGTCAGGAAGGGAGCACCAAACAACGGCTGGAGTCACGAGTGTGTGTGTGCGTGTGTGTGCGTGTGTGTGTGTGTGTGTGTGTGTTTGCTTGCTTGCTTGCTTGGTGGAAAGAGGACATTAGACCTTGTGACATAATGTTCAGAGACACAAACAAGCCGGGGTTGTAAACTGTGTGTCTTAAAAGCGTTTTGTGGAAAAAAACATCTTATGTGTTAATTTACTGCAGATGTTTTATTCTTTATTTACTTGCAGCTGTATAATATCAGTCTTAAATAGGTAGATGGATGGAGCCTTCAGCTTAAACAAACTGGAGCGCCTCCCACTCATTAATTCATGCTCAGAGAACTGCTTTTCTCACTTTCCTCATTCAGCTGGTTGATTAGTGCACATGATGCAGCCAACACTTAATGAAAAACAAATTAAATACAAGAAAAATCTTTGCTTGGTTCCTTTTCTACATTTCCAGTCAATGGTTTTTGAACAAAACTATGCAAAAGAAAATTCCTCAACTGCTTTGTAAAAAAAAAAAAAAAAAAAATCTTTCACCCTTCTGCTTACCACTGATGTCACAAATGAAATGATGCAGACAAGACAGAACATACAATTGAATAGATTTTTATTTACATGAAGCAAATAATCTTGAAGAAAGCTGTGCAATCGGCCCAACAAACTCAAGAGTTACCCTTAATATGACCAGAGAGTAGCAAAAGTCTAATTTCTTTTCAAAAGCATATGGTGCTTGGAAAACACTGTCTTATACATTTCATGTTTTGTTTTGTTTTTTGCCTTTTTGTCACACATAAATGTTTCAGATCCTCAAAAGTAAGTAGTATAGTAGTTCTTCAAAACAAGAAGAACGATCCGCTCGAGACTATGGTCCAAATCGCACCAGAAGGTCCACTTCTGAATAGCTCAAGACGTAAGTTTTGCAGTGGTCTAGTCAAAGTCAAGACTCAAACCCAATTGAGATGCCGTGGCATGAATCAGACCCTTCAACATGATTCAGTTTAAAACGACTGCAAGAAGAGTGGGTCGAGATTCTTCCTCAGCGATGAAAAAGGCTAATTACAGACGAATGTTATTTATTTTTCCTATTTATTTAGTTTATGTTGCAAGATAACAAAACTGGTCTGATGATCTAAACACCTTTAGGAGTGACGAAGCAGGAATCTTCAAAGGTGTTCTAAGTGGACAGATCGGTAGCTGCTGAGGGTTCAGATGACGTTTCTTCTTCTACAAAATCAGGCGACAGCAGAGGCTGAGTGTATTTGCATAACAGAGACAGAAGCTGTGTTGACCTGTTTGTTGGAATGCGCTAAACTCCAGTTATGACACAAACGCAAGATTATTACTGACATTTTGGGTGTGTTCATTTCCAGTTTTGCTTCATATCAAAGTGAATCAGATCCCACTCCCACTCATGCTTCTCGCTGGACTCGACACCCAGCAAGAAAGACGACAACTTCACCACGCCACGCTCCTTGAGTGGTGAAGTTTTCAGAAAGGCGACCAAAATAAGTGGAAGAAAAATCATTTCTGCCAACTTTCTGCAGGTTTGTGGGATATTCGGCGGGCTGTCCTGCCCAGAGTCACAGTCATCTGTTTTGATCTGTGGGATGAGCTGCTGCGAGGAAGCTGACGGCGATGAGACAGAAATGTTCAGAAATTACAGCCTGTGAGACGGCACCTCAGAAACTGCAGCAGTAGGAGGGAAGCTTTCACACCAGATGTTCAAGCTGCTAACAGGAATCTGCCTCGCTATGTGTGTTTTTGTAGCATCGGCGATGCGCATCTCTCATCACTAAGTAAACAATCGCAGGTTTCAGATTCCAAGAAACTTATCTGACACGCTTTCCTCTCTTTCCTCGTTTCTGTTTTTGCTTTATTCACATTTTCTTTTTTCCATTTCAGGAGCGACATGTTTTTTTTTCCACATGTACTTCACTAACTGTCACCAGACAGTGGCAAACGTACACAGGCAGCCTGGCTGGATGAAATGTGCAAACATGCGAGCGCACATAATGCTTGTGGTTGAAAATGGTCTGATGGTTTATGAGGAGCAGCAGGGTAGAGCTGAGTTTCAGTAAGCCTTCCTGCTGACCTCACTACTCCTGGTTCCACAGAAAGACGCAGTTCTGTGAAATCCTCCCCCACACTTGTGTTTTCACACTTAATAACAAAAGCGCAAACCTCATTTCCCCTGAAGCCGGCACTAAAACTGGAATAGATTGACCTTTGTTGAAAAATTGACACTGAAAGAGGAAACAATATAATGTTCTGATAGAAAAATAAAAAACAAACAAACAAAAACAACAACAACAACACAACATAGCTGGACAGTCTGGCTGATGCTTAATCTTTCCTGGTATGCAGAGGCTGCAGGTCTTTTGAAGGCGGTCAAACGAGAACCGGGGGGGGGGAACCACAGAGGTTCTGGGTCACTGAAACTGCTAATGACTAAGACATGCAGATTAACTCATGGATTATTGTGGAAACAATCCAACACCATAGCGAGACACATCTGATGTCAAATAAACTAAATTTCATGCAACTTTAAATTTTTTGGTGCCATTATTTCGGTGCTAGAGAGATTTCAAATGTAACTGATATATTGTTCTGTACTATTTACAGAGTTTCTCTTCTAATTAAACAAATTAAACAACAACCATGAGTTGAAACTTGTACAGCAAAGAAAACAAAACATGGTGGATCCCACAGCACTCTTTTAACATTGGCGTATATAATTTCTGTAAAATGGGTCTCTTGTTTGTCATTGAGATTATTCAATTATCGATTTCATTAAGCTGTTTCTGTTTGCTTTAAATGCTGTGTTTAAAAGCAGCACAGCATACGATTAAAATTTACTTCAACTAAGGGTCATTAAGGTCAAGAGTTGCTTGGGAATTTTATTTAACCGAGGTTCTGTGGTGTAGTCATGAGTAGTCAGTATCTTATCTATACAAAACAGAAGCTAGGAGGATTCCTACTGATTAAGGCTAACAGCTACCGGCCCTTGAGAACAGGCTTACAGTCAAACTGAGATTCTGGATTGAGTTCAGCCTTCTAGATAAACTCAAATCTCAAAAATGTCCAAGCAGTTTTAATGAATGTTGCATGCACTGTAGAGGTCTCAGACTTATCCAAAAGAAGTGTGTATAAGAATCCACAGAATACTGTTGTCTTGAACTGGTGTGACATTACACAAAAAAGCAGGAAATTGTTGACTCCTCATAGGCAGTTCTCTTTTAAATTAGTCTGAAAACTGAAGGAATCTACACACTTCGGTACAACTCTTCCAATGTGTGTGAATGTAGTGAACTGACAAACAACAAACATTAGCTGTATATGTCATTGGAGAAAAGCCCGGCTCTCCTCTCAGCCTTCAAACTCTGATGTTTTCTGTTTAAATCAGGTAGAAAGATACTGACCACTACTAAATACTCTCCAAAACCTCCCTCCACCATGTGGATCAGCCTAACTAAAAAAAAATCCCTTCAAACAGAATCAGAAATAAAGAGAAGAGTAAGAACACCTTCTTTAAATTTATGGGGTTTTACATAGATGCATGTTTATATGCAAGCTACACATTTTAGATATTTTTTAAGCGAATATTAAGATAAATGTGTCGTTTGTATACTTGGAGTAGACAAGGTAGATCATGTATATGTCAAAACTCTTTAATTGTTTCTTAATAAATGACTAGTCTAAAAAAAAATCCCACATTTATTAAAAAAGCAAAAACTCCACTGCTCAAAAAGAAAACTTTTGAGAGATTTAATGTATTGTTTTATACAACACAGCTCATTTATTTGTTAGAAAATCCCAGAATTTGCTGCACGCACGCTGCCCTGCCCTGCATTTAAACAGGAATATAATTAGCAGTATCTGCTGTCAAGATAATTGCATTGTATCGTGGAACTTAACCACTAATCTCCTGCCTGGTGACTGGCTGCCCAGCAGTGAATGTGCCAGAGTCAGCAGGATGGTGTGTTTGACTGCGGCGAGGAGGCGTTCGGGCCTGCAGCACCTCTCCATATTGTTCTCTATCAGTGGCACAACAAAAAGGGGGCTTCTGCTGCAAAACGCAGCCGGGAGCAGCACCAATCGGCAGACAGTCGGGGCAGGTCAGAGGGGTGCTGCTGTTACACGCTGGTCAGTCACGCAAATGTTTTGCTGTTTTTATTTTGTTGGCCCCGTTCTGCTCATATTTGAGTTTTAAAAAAATGAGCAGCGACAGTGAAGCCTGTCGGTCCGATACCCTACAGGCCGCAGCCTCACAGGTGAGTTGGTGCAACATGACTTACAATGGGAGCTTGTGTTAGGTTTAGATGATTTTTTTCCCCAAACTGTTGCAGCCACCTGACTCTCAGAGTGAGACGCCCAGATCCAGACAGGAGCAAGAGGAAAAACTGATCCTGGCTGCGTGGCGAACCATGGTGAGAGAAGAATTAAGTAACGACAAACACACAAAGCTTTCAAGCAGTGTTGTTTGACAATGTTTCTAGAGAGACTGTAAAAGTTGAAAAGGTCTGTGGGAGTGTGACACCATGCTCTGCTTTGTCTCTGTGAATCAAACATGTGGGTGTGTGAATTTAATATGTTTTAGTCATATTAATCCCTCTCTTTGTGATTGTTTTACAGCTCTGTTGTGACTGAGTCAAGCAAAGTTTCTCATTTTGCTGTTCGTAATCGAACAATCCCACTTCTCCCTTTATGGCCTCTAAATGTTCTGCTAACTTTTCCTACATCCTGTTTTTTTTTTTTTTTTCTTCTTGTCTTGGTTTGGTCTTGTCGTACATTTTTTGCTACACATGCACCACTTTTTTGTGCTCCTTTTTGTGTTTTCTTAAGTTAATTATACAACCGGTTTAGTCATAGGGCTGGCATGGCTCTAAGCCAGGGATTAGATATGGGCAAAAAGATGACGTATGATGTAATAAATTAGCAGCAAGACTCTTGACATTTGTGTTTGCTCTACTGGTTTAGAAAAAAAAAAAAACTGGACCAGACAAGTTTTAGTATTTGTATTTTGCATATCTGCAGCAGCAGAGCCTGTCTGAGAAGGAGCCTGCAGCTCCAGGTCTTCCTCAGTCTTTCCTGGCCAAGCAGAGGCGCTCCACCCAGACTAGGAGGGCCCGCTCCGCCCGCCCGGAGCCCCCGTAAGAGCCTCTTGGACACAGTGCGTCTCTGTGCTACAGAAGAAGGAGGGCATGCGAGTTTTTGGTGGGCTGTTATCCCCCCCTGCTGGTGATATCAATCAGAAACAAACTGTCTGCAGCTACAGGTGGCTGGGTCTTTAAAAATATACAGAATAGCATCACATGTAAAAATCTTTTTTTTTTTCTTTTTTTTTCAGATTGATGCTTGAAGCGCTGAAAAATATGAAAAAAAGAGAATAAAATCAAGCGGAGCATCGTTTGTCGTTGCTAAAAAAAAAAATTGTATAATTTTTTATTCTGTAATTGCTTGAATCACATCAGTGAAGTATATGGGACAGTAAAACTGAAAAGTTTCTATGAAGCGTAAGCAGTAAAATAAAATAAAATATTTTCAGTCAAAACTCGTGACATTTTGGACCAACTGAAACACAAAGTGACTTGCAAAAACATTCATATTTCATTATTGGGATTTTATGTGACCAATCAACACGCCGCTTTGCGTTGGTCGTTTTCCAAAGGGTTTCTTGCTCCTCGCCTCCGTTCCACTGAGGAAATAGCTCACCTGTTGACATTAACTCCCACTTGAGCCATGGTTCTCTGCAGCTCCTGCAAAGTTGCCATAAGCACGCTGGCTGCTTGGTGCAGTTACGTGGTCGGCCATGTTTGGGGAGGTTTGCAGTTGGGTGATATTATGCTAGCGTGTGCGTGAAACGTTCAAATCCCGGGATGTAGTTTTATAAACTAACTCTGCTTTAAGCTTTCTTTACATCTTCATCTCTGACATGTCTGGTTTGTTCATAATGTTATCTGAGAAAACTATCTGGATTTATATACACTAAATTAAATACATATGGCCTCTAGATGACTTATGAGGACAGTTCCCAATCTGACGGTTTTAGATAACGCTGAATACAAATGCCCGTTTTTATTTGCCAAAATTACAAATCCACGTGTTTTTATTTTTGTTTCCTTTTGCAGTAAGCATGCACAGATTAAAATTGTATTTATCCGTCGCATGCAAACAACAATCGAGCGGACTTTACAAAAGTTACTGGTTAATGAATCTCCACTGGTCGACGTGCAAAAATCCAACATGAACTCCTCTCTTCTCTTTGTTTTTAAAGTTTGCAGGAGATTAATACGTGTTTATTGTATAAATAAGAGATAATACACGGGGGGAATCATGGATTCTGTTATGTTGTGCATTTAATTTATTTAAACTACAATGTGATCCTAACGGAGCAATCAGGAATCAGGAAGAACTCTAAGCGCCACTTCAGTGTTTTGCTTTACTTACAGAACTAAACCTCTTGGTGTTCACAAAACCGGACGTTTGCAGTTTGCTGCTGACTTCAGGACCCTGTGAACTCTGACCCCATGCTCACGCTGCGAAAACGCTGAGGCTCGATGTAAGACGGCACGGTGAGGAGGAACATTTTGTTCCCAGCGGACGGTGGTTTGGGAATGGGAGGCATTGCCCTGGGATGGCTGATCACTGGCTGGGAGCTGCAGTGCTCCAGACTGGACTGGGCGGCCGGAGGAAACAGGAAGGCAGAGCGGTGGCGGGACGTGATAGGAGTGGCAGAGGCAGGACGAGTAGATGTCTCTCTGGAGGCCGGAGCAGGAGGAGGAGGAGGAAGCAATGACACAGGAGCTATGGAAGTCTCCTCTGACTCTGCTTCAGATCCATCTTCATCCCTCTGAACTCCTTCAACTCTTTTTACATCCCTGCTCTCGCCGGCTGAGACGTTTCCTCCTCGTCTTTCCTGCTCCTCCACAAACTGAACATCCACCAGCGGCGTCCTGGGACTCTTGTCCTCCCTGAAGCTGCACAGGGTGCTCTGGGTGTCCTGGCCCAGCCCTGATGGCAGCGACCCACCTTTACCAATCTTGCAACTTGTCTCCTCCTCGTCCTCCTCGTCGTCGCTGGTGCATCTGTCGTCACTGGGCAAGTGGTACAGCCTCTGGAGCTGAGCCGAGGTGCGGCGTAGAGCTCCTCCCATGAAGCCAGTCGGGGACGGAGCCGCGTGGAGGAGGCGGTTAAACAGAGCCATGTTGGGGTGGCGAGTGCCGGATTCCTCCAGATTCTCAGCAATGTCCTCCAGAGGTTGGAAGTGCATCTCCTCCTTCGGGATCCTGAAAAATGAAAGTCAAGATTATTTATATTTTTTAGGCTACTGAAAAAACGAAACATTTGTTACATTTGTTGAGAGTGGTGTTTCTTGGGGAAAGATGTGAACTCTTTCTCGAGCCTAAAAGGAGAAAACTTTCTCTGTTTCAAACACCAGGTAAGGGGGATTCTCACTCGGGCCCTCAATGTCCCAAGAGGACACACAGAGAAACTCACGCCATGTCGAAGGTGGACCCCTGAAAGGACGGTTTACGGAGGACGAAGAGTGTCGCTGCCGTGTAGGGCGGTCGGGGATTGGAGTCGTTCCAGTAACGGTCTCGCTCCATCATTGGGAGATCGCCGTACATCTCATCCACGGCCATCATGGACACCTGCACACAAAATGTAAACAGAGAAGCCAGACCCACAAGAAAAAAAGAGAAAAAAAACAGAACAGAACTCAACATCTAAAAAGTTTTAAATCAAGCTTTAAAAAACTAAAAACCTGAAAGTTTCTGTCAATTAGCCAGTTGGTCTCAAAATCATCATCATCTTCTCCAAAGGGGTTAATCAGCTGCTCTGCAACCTTCAAGAGGAACAACAAAAGATTGAATGTCTCCACTTTCTTCTGACATCAAGCCGGAGCAAAACGTCAAGGGAGCCTCGGTCTGACCTTGAGCCACCCTGCGTAAAAGAAGAACTGCAGTAGCGTGAAGATGGGCACGTAGAGGTCCAGGTCATGACCCGGGTAACCCTGACCGGGGTCCAGAAACTGACGGCCAATCAGACACACGAGGAAAAAACTGTACACTGCCAGAGTCACCACCTGAGAGACAAGCAGATGCATCCGATCTGTGCTAATGCAAAAGTTTTGTTTATGATTACTGACTTTTTCGCTCCGTTTCTTTATTTGGATCATTTTAAAGTAATTTTGTAAAATTGTATTGTGGTAAAATTTAATTACTTTCACTTATTATTCCACCTCTTTGTAAAAGGAAATTGTGCAGCATTAAGATAAATGCATTTAATGCCTTGGTTTTGTTCCCATTGTTTTTTTGTTTTTTTTTCTGGAAGGCTCCTTCCGGTTTATTTTCTTGTGGCGCCCTCTCATGGCCAATGGTGGTAACTATAGTGAACCGACAATCTCCGCTCAAATGAAGAAGTTACACATTTATCCAAAGTAAAAATATCTTGTGTTTGTATTAACTTACTAACGTACAAATGTTTTTGTTGTTCTGAAATATTAAAATATTTTATAGACTTTTTTTTTTCCAGAAATTGGGTATTTTGTAAAAAGTCTCAAAAATAAAGAAAGTTTTTATGTAACATCATTAGCGTTTCATTGCTTACTCTTCCCAGGCATCATGTGCACAGCCTGGCGAGCTAACTGATTAAAACTTGAAGAAAAACATAGAAAACAGCTCCTTCTTTGTCAGACACAGCAACCTCTCCATAAGCGAGTATTTTGATTGACCGTCTCCAAAAAATAAACACAGTGAGAGCTGCCAGTGTTCATGAGGGCTTTGGCAGGCTGTTCTAATATAAAACTGGCTTCACCACTTACATTCCAGATATCTCAAATTGGTTTATGACTAAACATATTAGTTAATTAATATATCTCTAATTACCTTAGATTTCCACTCAGGACACCACAGATGTAGTTGTGTCTAGTCAAAGTTCATTTTTAGATATCTGAAATATAATATAATAATATATAGTCCTGATTAAAATACCCAAGGTGTACGAAATAAAAACCCAAGATTTACCAAGTCTGTGAATGATCTTACCTGAGTGTACACTAGTGGCACGCTGATCATGTCATAATGAAACAGCATGCTGCACTTCCCTCTGAAAGCGTTCAGTTCCTGTCCACACACACACACACACACACACACACACACACACACACACACACAGACAGCAGCCGTCAATCCACAATATAAATCTCCATTCAAAAGAATAAAGAAACTCGGCAGCTCAACACTACTACTAGCCAGCGTGTCTGAAGGTTTCTGCCTGTTCTGGCTGTGCTGCACCTGCAAGAGAAGCTTGAGTGTGTGATCGTCTTTGATTCTGCCCTCACAGCGAGCCACAGCTGCCAGGTTGGTGAACCAAACGCACGGGATCCAGTATTTGTTGTAAGGAGAGTGGAGACCCTCAAACTTCTTTCTCTCCTCTCTTGTCATAAATCCTGCACAGAAAACAACAGGGGAGTCATTGGTTCGTATCCGTTATGTAAAGATCAATTAAAACATCCAAGGATCTGAAAATGTTTTAAACCGATCGTGATTCCTTTGTGCTGTACTCTCAAATAACTTGAATTTGCTATAAGTTTGCGATTGAAACCTAAAGTGGTTTTCATAAATGTTTCTCCAGGATTTTTTCTTTGGACTTTGCATTTTTACTCAACTTTCTTGCAGCTCTTCTATCTCCACATAATGTGTAGTGATAAAAAAACAAAAACAAAAAGAGGCTACAAGATGAAACATATCTGACTGTCATGTCTTAACATACTTGATCGTTTGTTGATTATCCACCGGGGTTTAGCTGACGGCTTTTTATGAATTGCCATGTTGGTGGTAAAATATTACTTTAATATATTCTTAGTCTCTCAAACTATGTAAGCTTTTTTTTTATTTTGCTAATGAAAAAGAAACAAAATTTACATACAAATGCTGTGGAGAATATCTGTGTTAAAACCCAAAGCATTTGGAAGAAGAGCAGATTATAAACATCTATGGGCCAGTACAGTTTGGTTACTATGGAGACTGAACACAGGTAGGTGGACCAGGAAGAAGCTGGTTTCCTAGGCAACTCCCTCTGCTGCTTGTGTGTCAAAAGACGTCATAAGGGATAGTTAAAGTGAGTGTTTCTGAATATATAAAATGACCCAAAAATAATAATTTATTGCTTGTTTTTTTAATCAGTGAATCTCCTCGTGCGTCCTCTCGTGGGTTTAGTGGATGCAGAAGCAAACGGTTCACCAATCATTGTGTGTATTTCCGTCTAAAACACCTCTGACCACTTTCTGGTAGTCTGATAAAAATGTTGCATCTATGCCACGTGGTGTTTATCACAAACCATGAGAGAAATAAGTCAAATTTCGTAAATATGTGTTGACCAGCGAAGCCCTTCTCTCACCAGCCTCCACCACGTGGTCCATGGTGGGGAACCGTTTGAAGACGGCCGTGCTGACAGAGCGGAGGATGAGGAGGGCCGAGAGGCTGGCGTAGCGCATCATGGTGCGCCTCAGCAAGCGGCCTCGCTCGTCGTTCCCCTGGAGGCCCCCGGACAGGACGCACATGAGCCTGTCGGGCAGCGGGATGCTGGTGTACTGATTCCACCAGCGGTTCACCACCAGGGTCACGTAGAAACCTGAAAACAGCAGCACAGACGTTTAAAACTGTGATTTTTTTTAATATATATATTATTATTATTAACAGGTCACTTTGTTGCATACACTGTAGAGTTTCAAAAAAATGTAATTCTTAATTTAGAGTTAGATGTTTGGCCCCGGAAAAACATTCGACAGAATGAAGCAGAACAGACTGGTGAATTATTTATGTATTCAGTTTGTGCTGAGTGAATTATCAAATAAGGATTATTCATGGGTGCTTCATATACTTTAACACTGGTTAAATAAGGAAATGAGTCCATCAGATTCATTTTTTGCACCTTTTTCATGTGTATTTATTAGGAAAATGTTAGCTGGCTTTAAATTACTGGTTAATAAAGTCAGCACACATTGATCACTGAAAACCTCACACCATTGAGCATCCTGAATAACTCATAAGTCGCATATTTAATATGTTTTACTTAATCATAAAAAAGGTCTCGTGTCATGTTGCTAAAGCCACACTAATCATAACTAACCCCAACTCTGGAAATGCCAAAAGACTCTAAAAGCTCACCCAGTACAAAGGACATGGGGATGAGACTGGCGTAGTGGTTGCAGTAAATTGCCAGCTTTTCAAAATACCTCTTCTGATCATCATCCAGGAAAAATCTGAAACGGTACAATAATCCAGAATGTGTTATAGAAGGCATCATGGAAATGATGATTATCTACAGTTGCAATCAGATTCATTCATCGTGAACAAGAACATTTGGGGCAATGTCAGACTTTTACGGATTCCTTTGACTCTTCTGTCTCCATTTAAGGAACATTTCTCAGTCCTTTGAAAAAAATGTACAGGTTAAAAACGTTGCTACATTCCAACCCACAATGATATTCGATATAAATGTCCCTTCAAAAGTACAAAACTAAATCACACACTTTCTGCTGCTGGAGTAATTTGACCTCTCATTTTGACCAAATAGTTTGTTTTTCTCTGCAGAGACTTAAAGCATGTTAGCCTGTTTTATCCAGGCTAACATGCCGGATAAAAGCATGTTAGCCTTTATCCAGCATGTTAGCATTTGAACACGCTATGATGTGGTAAAATTTCAATTATCTAGTTGTTGATTGGTGGTGAAGTTGAAGACCTCTGGAGTGGTTATCCAGCTTCATAATTAAACCAACACCATTATCAGAAAAACAGACCAATAGCACGATGCTACCTCCACTGTCCTGAATAACTGCTGCAGTGTTTGCTGGTTTGAACTGCTTGGACTTTGTCTCATGAACATAAAACTTTTCTCAAAAGTTATTAAGCTTCTTCATGTGGACAACTGAATGTTTCAGTCAAGATATCATGTATCAGTTTTGGAGAAAATTCTTCTTTCTCACTTGGTAACCTCCATGGTGAAGTAAAACTTGTCTGACTGGACCGTGACACTGGTGTTCTAGCACATGATAGGAGTGGGTCACGATTGTTCCTCTTTTGTTTCTAAAAACCCTAAGCAATTTCTTTTAATCTCATCGTCACATCTGAAAAAAACTGCACTGATACATAGTGGTTTGAACTGATAATTTTGGCATCTGCCAACTGCAGTCAGTCTTGGCAACCATGATGAAATTAGTCAGACTTGTCCATTTAAAAGATCTTTGGAAGGCCTCAGGAATACTTTCTAACTTTTATCCAGCATCTAATTAGAAAAAAATCTAATAAATGTAAATTTGGACACTTTTTTTGGCTCAAATATGTCACTAGAAGCCTCAAATTCAGCATGACATCCACACTCTTGATGAGTGTGTGTAAACTTGACATCATAGCAGTTCCTCCCTCACCTGTAAGTGACACTGGTGGCCGTGTACATGGCGAAGAAAGCCAGAAACTCTTTGTAAAGAACCTTGTAGATGCTGCCTTTCCAGGCCAAGAGCAGCTTGGAAAAGCCGCAGAATTTGGCATTTGCAACTCTGGCGGTGTAGGTGACCGTCATCAGGAGCCGAGGGTTTCCAGGTTTCCAGAATGAAAGCGCTGTTTGGGAAAATATAATTTCATATACATATGAAATTTGAATCAGTTTCATATGTTCTTGTCGGAGTTCCTGTACCTTCAGGAAAGTTTGAAATTTGATTTCAGTAACGTTTGCGTCCCATTACTCCCATATTCCATTGTCGAAATGTAGAATACCTTGTTCCTCCTTTGTATGCTTTCTGCCCTTCTTTATTTATTATGTACTCTTTTTCTTGCCCTGCCTCCCTTCCTGACATACTGTTTAGTGCCTCCTCTCCTTCCTTTTAACTTTTAGCATCTTCGTTCCTGCGTCCTTGTTGCCTCCCTGCTGTCCCTCGTTCCTTCAGTGTCCATTTCTCCTCTCGTTACCTCCCTTTCTTCCACTACTGGATCAGTTCCCTCGTGGTAACCTCAAGTCTTCCTTCCGTGTCTCCTACCTTCCCTACAAACAAACTTTTTCGTACCTCGTCTCCTTTGCTTCCCCTTTGGTAATTCTTGGTTTCCTGCGAGTTAGTTCCCTTTCTGTCCTTCCATCCTTCTTTGTCTCCTCTACCTCCTTACTTCACCTTTGACCTCCTTCCTCCCCTCTTTCCTTGTGTTTTTCATTTCTTTCCATCATTCTTTCAAGCCAACAGAAATTTCTGTGATATATTTATGAACGTCGGGACTTAGCTTTTTAATGAAAATGTATAAAAGGTCTTACATTTTTACATACACCTGTGGGAATCCCTCTCATATAATTGTGACAGTTTAATCTTGACAAGCAGCGTTCATGACTTTTAATATAATTCGTGATGAAAACAAATTAAATCTTAAAGGAGGAATGTACCAAAAACCGAAGTTACCGTTTTGAAACAAGAAGACTAAGACGGAGATCTCTTCAAATTTCTTCACAAACAACGAATTTTAATTCATTATTTAACCAAATGCATCATCCTACCTTTCAGAGGTGCGTCGTTCTGCTGCTCTCCTCAGCGCGTCTCCATGCGTAATTGGCACGCGTCCCGCTCTGCGTTCAGCAGCGTCGCTCTCTCCAAAGGAGCTCGCCGCCCTGATATCCTCTGGCGTCAGCTCCGCTAAACCCTCGTCGGCTGCGTGGTTATAATCCTCGGCGGTGTCCAGTGGTCAACGCGCCCCGGGGTAAATCCCCTCCAAGAAAACAAAGAGGGGGAGGCTCGTTAGCACGGCCCCCAACCGGGCGAGCGATGCTCGGTGATGAACCACAAGCGACAGGCCGCAGCGCCGCGGCCGGAGGAGCGCGCAGAGCAGGGCCGAGCAGCACAAGCAGGGAATTATTAAACAGCAGCAACCGGACCGTGCAAAACTTCCCTGCTTAGTAAAATGACAAACAAGAACCTTGCTGTTTGGTTCTGAAGCTGCAGACTGTTGTGCATTTAAACAACTGGCTAAAATGATGTTTAAACAAATCCACATATCCTCTTGAGGCGTTTTTATTTAAAGGTCATCTGAGGCCTCATGTCTCCTTCAATCTCTTCTTACTTGGAACTTTTATTTGATAGATTAACGCTGGATAGAACTGAAAGGTGTTGCAAGCATGTATGTCCACCCTCTTTAACTGCGATGCCCTAAATATGGGATCGCTCTAAAAAGATAATTAACCTTATGGAAGCAAAGGACAAAAAAAATAAATAAATAAAAAACAAGACCAGGGACAATTTTTAGCTGAGGAAAGTTTGTTTTAATTCACAATTGAAATATAATTTAAATAAAAATCTATAGAAAACAGATTCTTGAAGCAATCAGTGACAGAAAACAAGAGAGATGTTGACAGGTGGAAGTATTGACCTTGTACTTATTTTCCAGTTGGGAAAGCTTCAACTGAACCAGAACCTTTGCTTCATTCACAGCAGTAAGAATGCAGACAACCATTAGCTCAAAACTTCAGTGATAGGTTATATTCTAAATAACTACAACCAGAATAGTTATCCTGATTCTTCCCGTTATGGTAATCGATGTTAGAGAGAAGTGGGTTGGTGTGTTTCAGGCAGTTCTGAGGGGAAGATGTAGTGACCTTTCAGCTTCAACTTACTGAAATGTCACACTTTGGTCTGATGAAACGTGGATTCATATCTTAAAATGATGCCAAACTGTAAACAAACCATTCTTGTACTTTTATTGGAATAAAAATGACCCTCAAGAACTGAACCCTCACTCCCCCCCAAAAGAGATAACATTTCTCTTTTTATTCCATTTTGCCAACAACCTGTCATTTAACTCTGAAGTTGTAGGAACTTCAATAAAACTGGAAAAATATACAAGACGTGAATTTGGTTGCAAGTTCAGTCAAAACCTCGACTGAGGGAAAAAAAAAAAAAAA